GTGGGAGGTGACTGGCCCTGTTGTGAAGTGACTGGCCCTGTTATGAGGTGACTGGCCCTGTTAGCCAGGTGATCTGGCCCTGTTGTGAGGTGACTGGCCCTGTTGTGATCTGGGCCCAGTTGGGAGGTGTGACTCTGGTCCTGTGCCATGTTGGGTGAGGGTGATCTGGCCTTGCCAGGAGGTGACTGGCCCCACAGAGGTGTAGTCTGGCCCAGAGTGAGTTGACTGGGCCATGTTGTGAGGTGATCTGGCCCTGTTGTGAGGTGGTCTGTGGCCCAGTTGTGGGGTGACTGGCCATGTCTGTTGTGAGGTGACTGGGTCCTGTGCCTGGCGAGGTGACTGGCCCTGTTGTGGTGATCTGGCCTGTTGTGAGGTGATCTGGCCGTGTTGTAAGGTGACTGGCCCTGTTGTGAGGTGATGGCCCTGTTTTGAGGTGATCTGACCATGTTGTGAGGTGATCTGGCCCTGTTGTGGAGGTGACTGGCCCTGTTGTGAGGTGACTGGCCATGTTGTGAGGCGACTGGCCCTGTTGTGAGTGTGGACTGGCCCTGTTGTGAGGTGACTGGCCCTGTTGTGAGGTGATCTGGTCCTGTTGTGAGGTGATCTGGCCCTGTTGTGAGGTCATCTGGCCCTGTTGTAAGGTGACTGGCCCTGTTGTGAGGTGACTGGCCCTGTTGTGAGGTGATCTGACCATGTTGTGAGGTGATCTGCCCTGTGTGGAGGTGACTGGCCCTGTTGTGAGGTGACTGTTGAGGGAATGGGGTGAATAGAATAATAAGGGATAATGTGTATGAAGGGGCAGGGGCCAGGGGGGTATGGCAGGGTAGGGTGGGGTGCAGGAGTAGGGCAATAGGGCAGGATATAGGGCAAATGATGGGGTAAGGCAGGGTACTAGGAACGGGGGCACAAAGGGCAGGGTAGGGGGCAGGGTATGGCAGGGTAGAGGCAAGGGTGGGAAGACCGAGTAAAAGAATTAGGGCAGGGTAGGCAGGGGTAGAGGTGAGTAGGACTATAGGCAGAGATAGGAGCAGGGGTAGGGTAGGGTGGGGTAGGTGATAGGCAGGGCAGGGCAGGGTAGGGCAGAGCAGGGCAGGGTAGGGGTAGGGGTAGGGTAGGGGAGGGGTAGGGGTAGGCAGGGCAGGTAGGGCAGGGTAGGGCAGGGCAGGGTAGGGTAGGAAAGGGCAGGGCAGGGTAGGGGTAGGGGTAGGCCAGCAGGCAGGGGCAGGGGTAGGGCAGGGGTAGGGTAGGGGCAGTAGGGCAGTGAGGTAGGGCAGGGTAGGGTAGGCAGGCCACAAGGGGTAGGGCAGGGGGTAGGGCAGGGTGAAAGGTGGGCAGGGTAGCAGGGTAGGGCAGGGGTAGGTAGGGTAGGGCAGAGCTGGGTAGGGTAGGGGCAGGATTAGGCAGGGGTAGGGTAGAGGGGTAGGGCAGGGCAGGGGGCAGGGGTAGGGAGAAAGGCAGGGCAGGGCAGGGCAGGGCAGGCAGGGCAGGTAGGGGCAGGGCAGGGCAGGGTAGGGTAGGCAGAGTTGGGTGTGGGTAGGTGGGGTAGGGGCAGGGTAGGGTAGGGGCAGGGGCAGGTAGGTGAGGGCAGGGCAGGAAAGGGCAGGGCAGGGCAGGGGCAGGGCAGGGCAGGGCAGGTGCAGGGTAGGCAGGGCAGGGGGTGGGGCAGGAGCTCGGCAGGAGCAGGTACGGAGGGCAGGAGAGGGTAGGCAGGCCAGGCAGGGAGGCAGGGCAAGAGGGGCAGGGTAGGGCAGGGTGAGGCAGGCAGAAGTAGGGCAAGGTAGCGTACAGGGCAGGCAGGGGTAGAGGGATATATATATATAAGCAGGGGTAGGGTAGGGTAGGCAGGGCAGGGGCAGGGAGGGGCAGGGGTAGGAGAGGGGGAGCAGGGGTAGGCGTATAAGGGCAGGGGCAGGGGCAGGGCAGGGGACAAGGGCAGGGCAGGGTAGGGTAGGGTTATATATGTTATAGCAGGGTAGGAGGGGTTATGGGTTAGGGTAAGGCAGGGGCAGGGGCAGGGTAGGGGCAGGTAGGGGCACGGTAGGGCAGGGGTAGGCAGGCAGGGCAGGTAGAGCAGGGCAGGGTAGGGTAGTAGGGTAGGGGCAGGGGCAGCAGGGGTAGAATGAGCAGGGTAGAGCAGCCTAGTAGGGTAGGGCAAGGTAAAGGCAGGGGCAGGGCAGAGCAGGGCAGGGTGTGCAGGGGCAGGGGGCAGGGTGGGAGGGTAGCAGGGTGCAGGGGTAGGGCAGGGCAGTGGGCAGGGTAGGGTAGGGGCATGCAGACAGGGGGCAGGGCAGGGCAGGGCAGGCTGCAGGGCAGGGCAGGGCAGGGCAGAGCAGGGCAGGGGTAGACAGGGCAGGGAGATATAAGGGTAGAGCAGGCAGGGTAGCGAGGGCAGGGTAGCGTAGGGCAGGGGCAGGGCAAAAGAGGGTAGGTAGGGTAGGGGCAGGGAGGCAGGGTAGGGATAAGAAAGGCAGGGTTATAAGTAGGGGTCTGGTAGGGGTTAGGGCAGGGCAGGGGCAGAGACAGGGTAGGGGCAGGGTATATAGGGCAGGTAGGGGTAGCGTAGGGCAGGGGGTAGGGGCATTGGGGCAGGTGGGGGCAGGGTAGGGTAGTAGGCAGGGTAGGGGTAGATATGGGCAGGGGCAGGGCAGGTGTGGTAGGGGTAGGGTAGGGCAGGGGAGGGCAGCAGGCAGGCAGGGCAGGGTGGCAGGGCAGGGCAGGGCAGGCAGTGCAGGGCAGGGGCATGAGGGCTAGGGTTATAAAGGCAGAAATATACAGGGCAGACATGGGCAAGGGGTAGGGTATGGGCAGGGGAGACAGTAATGTGGGTAGGGTAGAAAGAGAATATAAGAGGGCAGGGCAGGGGTATGTGGGTTAGGGCAGGGCAGTAAGGGAGGGTTATAAGAGGGTAGGAGTGAATATGGTAAGAGTTATGTAAGGGCATATAGGAGTTATAGAGATAGTGTGCCGGGAAGAGTAGATAGAGGGAGGGAAGGGCAGGGCAGGGTTTAAGAGGGAGGCGTTGGCAGGGTAGGGCAAAGGCAGGGTAGGGCAGGTAGGGTAGGGCAGTGGGCAGGGGCAGTGGGTAGGGTAGAGGTAGAAAGAGCAGAGAGAGAGAAAGAGGGGCAGGGGCAGGGCAGGGGTTGGGTAGGGTGAGGGCAAGGCAGGGTAGGGCAAGGGCCAAGGGGTGAAGTAGGCAGGGAGTAGGGCAGCAGGGATATATATATATATGTAATGTTATAGGGATAATAGTGTATGGGTATATATATAGAGTAAGATAGATAGGGTAGGGTATAATAAGAGATATAAGAGGCAGGATATATATATGTTATAAGAAAGTATGGGCAGGAGAGGGTATAAGGGCAGGGTTGGGTAGCAGGGCAAGAGGGAGAGGGTTATAAGGGTTATGGTCAATAGGTGGGGTTATATATAAGATAGGGTAGTAGGGACAGGGCAGGGTAGGGTAGGGTGTTATGGGTAAATATATTAAGAGTTAGGCACAGGTAGGGAAGAGGGCAGGGTAGGGCAGGGGTTAGGGCATAGGGCAGGGTTGGTAGGGTTATGGTTAAGTGGGTAGTAGGTAGGGCAGGGCAAGGCAGAGGTAGGGAGCAGGAGACAGGGCAGGGGCAGCAGGGAGGGTAGGGCAGGGTAGGGTGGGGCAGGGTAGGGTAGGGGTGGGAAAGGGTAGGGCAGGGCAGGCAGGCAGGGCAGGGCAGGGCAGGGCAGGGCAGGGCAGGGCAGGGCAGCAGGAGTTATTGGAGACAGCTAGAACAAATATTAAAGTTATATGTCGTGACATTACATCTTCACCTGGACCAGATGAGTCACAGTGAACAGGAAAACAACTTCTCGTTCAATCTTTCTTACAGGCATCTCCTTATACTATTTAATTCATAGAGAAATATAATACGTCATACAACAGTAATGTTTATACATGGTAGATTTGTCTGTGCTTGAGTGCAATGTGTAAATATCACAAATTATTTCTTTTCGGGGAATAGCAGCAAATTATTTTTTGTAACACCAGTTGTAGGGCACTCGGGTATCTAATACGGTTTACATTGTGATGTTTTATTTAGAATTACTGAATTGTTGTACAGAGTCTATTTTGATGTAGTAGTGACTAAATTTACAGAGTGTCTTTTTCATGCATAATGTATTACTGTGTGTATTAGTAGACATATAGTAATTAACAAAATGTTTGGAGACATAACCCACATGTACTGTACACAACAGCCCCAAAAACTACGGAGATCCCAGACTCTGGTGGAATAGAAAATGAGCGATAACCTCAGACACGCTCATGTATCGGTCGTATAGGTCCTCGCCTGGTGTTTCATATTCTTTCGGACGTCTGAGGTCCCGATGCTTTATGGATTGGCTGCACGTGTAGGTATTTTCACACATGAAAACGTAGCTGATGACTGGTAACCGTACTACAGAAAGGATATAGAATCCTGAGAAAGGATTTAGAGGAGAATGACAAGACTAATCCCGGGCATTAGGAACCTTGAGTACAGAGACAGGTTAAAGCATCTTAATATGCACTCCCTTGAGAGACGTAGAGCGAGGGGCGATATGATAGAGGTGTATAAATGGAAGTCAGGGCTAAACAAAGGTGATATAACGAAGGTACGCAAACTATCCAACCAGGAGCGAACTCGTAACAATGGTTTTAAATTAGACAAATTTGGATTTAGGCGCGAGATAGGTAAACACTGGTTTGGAAATAGAGTTGTGCATGAGTGGAACAAGTTACCAAACATCATCATTAACTCGAATACGCTGGATAGCTTCAAACATAGGTTGGATGGATATATGAGCAATAGGGGTTGGGTGTAAAAGGGACTGCCCAGTATGGGCCAATAGGCCCGCTGCAGTTTCTTTCATTCTTAAGTTGTTATTTTCGTCTATGTTTACAGGTGTGTATGACTTATTATATGTCATGAGTGTTATTACAGGTGTTTTCGCCAGACGAATGCTAATCCTCGTGTGTCTTACAGGTGTACCTGGACAAGCTCTCCCCCATGGACACGACGTCGGGTTCACCTGTTCGGATCACTTGCGAAGCCGGACTGAGCACCCCAGCCTCATCGGTACTGTTATTATATAGAGAGGGGGGGGGGAGGAGGAAAGAGAGGAGGAGGAGAGAGAAAGAAAGGAGGAGAGTAAGGGGAGTGTGGGAAAGAGGAAAGAGAGATAGAAGGTGAAAAGCGAAGAGAGAGAGAGAGAGAGAGGATGGAGGACCTAAAATTATGTAGTAGGGAGTAATAGTGAAGGAGTAAGGGAGTTTAGGAGCTATCAAAGGAAGGAAGAGAAGGAGATATGAAGTTAGTGGAGTGAAGTGGAAGGAAGGAGGAAAATGAGGGATGATAGAGTGAAGGGAGGAAGAGAAGAAGGATGAGAACCAGACTATTTTTACGGTATTTTTCATAAATTTCTCCAGTACTTTAGGGATTATTTTAATATTTTACTTAAGTTATAAAATCACCAAGAGTTTGCCTCTATGTGATTAAACATTTAATGACTCTTCTCTAACACTCCACACCTCTAACAAGGAAATAATTATTGGAGGCCAACCATCTTTTATTGTAATAAAGTAAATGCCTAATTATCCCATCCATATCCTGAGAATATGAACCCGCAATACAATTATAATAATAAGTTGTACATTAGTGGCAAGAACACAACACGTGCAGTTCAATATTATGATGATAGTAATATAGAAAAAAAATGCAGACAAAAAAGATACAAAATGTTTTGCCTCACATCACGTTATTTGGTATAGTGTGCTGGAGAAGAAATGAGCTGTGTTACTCTCTACTAGTGAAGGAAACACGACTAAGAGATGGAGCCTTATTTAACAATATTCACTCTCTACTAAACACGTGTAGGTGATACGAAGCTTAAGTTTACAGTAAGTAATTGTTCCTGGTGTGCCTCCCTCAGATCAAGTGGCTCCTGAACGGCAAGGAGAGCTTCTCTAGTAGCCAGATCAACACTACCAAGCAGAGACAACACGACAGCATCCTGGTGGCAGTAAGAAGCCGCCTAGACCTCAAGCCAGAGAGGAAGCACCACGAGGCCAACATCTCCTGCCAGGTCTCCCACAAGGGTCTCGAGATCCCCATCATCAGGAGTCTGGTCATGACCGTCAAGTACCCGCCTAAGGTCAAGATCTCAGTCGACTCGGCCAAGATCAAAGAGAATGATGATGTGAGTACCGACCAAGGCGTCATCTGCTTCACATTTGTTGCTTTTGTTTTTGTTGTGATAGACTTCTTGAACCTACCAAATATATTTAATGTAATTTGTGCATTCTTAATTAAATTCACTTAAATTTAATTGCTTAGTTTCATCAATTACTCACTCACTGACACAGACAAATGACTGACTCTCTCACTGGGAAAAATAAAACAAATCCACACCAACGCAGCTGAAGAGTAACTTGTATTTATTTTTTAATGGGGGGGAGGGTGAGGTGACTGACGTGAAATGGTTTATAAAAATAAAATTAAGTTCACTTTAGGAGAAACTTGAACTCGGAAGTAACCAGCGGAACATTATAAGCTGCTTGATTTAGCAAGAAATTTGAAAATGTAATTTTTTGTACAGTAGATAATAAGAAATAATAAGCATTTCTATCTATTTGGTAAAGAGACACAGATGCTCTTTGTCAAGTGGAGTCGAATTGCAGTTAGATATCGGTGGTTAATGTTGCAGTACAAATGATGTTAATGATGTTTGAAGTTCACATATTAAGTAGGAGTATTTGTTAGTGTGTGTGTGTTATAATAATAATAATAATAATAATAATAATAATAATAATAATAATAATAATAATAATAATAATAATAATAATAATAATAATAATAATGATAATAATAATAATAATAATAATACTGATAATAATAATAATAATAATAATAATAATAATAATAATAATAATAATAATAATAATAATAATAATAATAATAATAATAATAATAATAATAACAATAATAATAATAATAATAAGGAAGTATGTAAGTTAATTAAGCACTCAAGAGTTCAGGTGAGGAGGAAACTCCAAGGGACTTGAGACAATGGAAGAGGTGGAGACAAAAGCTGTAGGACTTGACAATTGCACTGACGTGTGCTTTCCAATTCAGTTTGTTATCTTGCTTGACTGATGGAAGTATTGACGCTGGAGCAGAGGGGCTTAGCTAGTTTCGGGGAAAAATCCTTGTAGAGTTTCATTGGTAAGTCAATGGGGGTGGTAGAGCGCTTGATTTTCATTTTGTCTAAACGTCTCACTAGTTCAAATTCTTCCACTAAGTCAACGGGAGAGGGGACGGATATGTAAGCAGGGAGACTGGTTGTGTCAAGGGGGGGAGGGGGAGCATCTGGCATATAGTTGCGAAATGGTTGTTTGATTGCTCAGCTGCGTCACCATTAGTGAGATGGCTAAGGAACGGGAGGGGGTGTGTCTTATTGTTTAGTCCAAGAATTCTTTAAGCTTACCATTCCACTGACTGATGTTGGTCTGCTTCAGGTGTTGCATCTTGGTTGTGAAGTGGGAGTTCTTTGCAGCACAGATTTCACGGATGCTTTGGTTGCTAAAGGCCCTGTGATGGTTGTTGTTGTTGAAATAAAAGGTGCTGTTTCTCTGCTGCATGAGTATTTTGATCCGAAGTGTGATCCAGGACAGTTCAGCTGGGTGTATTCTAATGGACTTCTCGGGGAAGAAGTGGTGGTGAGCTTCCTTGATAGTGTTGGTGTATTTTGTCCGTTTGGTGTCCACGTCATCTATTCTTAGTACTTTAGTCCAGGGATGGTTAACTATCCACTGTCAGAAGAGACGCACTGCAGAGTCAGTACTCGGCCTGTAGGTCTTGATGTAGGGTCTCTATACTTGGCTGGTAGTGGGAGCTGGAGACCAGAGAACTGATAGGTGTGTGCTCCACCCGATAGGAGGCGTTGATTGAGGTGCTTGGCACTGGTCCGCTAAGTCAGTTAAGATAAGGTCAAGGGTATTTTGACCGTGCATGGGGAAGTTCACAGCTTGTGATAATAGCAGCTGGTCCTCGATATCAGTGGTGTCAATTTCGTTAGAATCCCCTCATAGTATTAGCTCTGAGGTTGTGTGTGTGTGTGACGAAACGGCAATAGATTAATGGTGGTATCACGTTATAAAAACATTTGTAACGGAGTAAAAACAGGTTAGGTCGGTGTTAATGGTATAAAAACGTGTTGAAATGAATATGTTTGACAATTATATATACCTGCAGAGTATTCCATTATTTTAGTTATATCTTAGAAGTGATAGAAGAATATACTGTATTTTATTCTGTTTTTTTAAAGAATATCCTCCTCTCCTCTCTCTCTGTCACATCATGTTTACACCCATCCTCTTCCTTCACATTATCCTCAGCCACGTTCCTCTTATTACATTGCCCTCCTCCTCTAATTCTGTCAGAGTTGTAAAAAGTAATGGACTTTGTTACTTAAGTAAAAGTATTGTTACATTGGCAAAATGTTACTCAAGTAGAAGTAAAAAAGTATCTCATTCTTAAGGTACTCAAGTACTGAAAGTAAAAAGTAACAACAATTTATTCTCAAATATTAAAATAAATCAACAGTAAATTATATAGAAAATAGTTAACTAAAGATAAAAATAAAAGACATATCATTTCACATGTTTCTTTGCTAATCTTTCAATTCAGTTTCAATTTCAATTGTTTATTCCTTGATAGAGGAAGCGGGATCCTAGTGCTGTCACTAGGTACGCCTGTTCTTTCAATTAAGATTAATTAATAACTGATTATCAAAAGTATGGCTGTCCAGTCAGGATCTTTTAGGCCTAAATATAAGCCCAGCAGGACCAATTGAAAGAGAACACTCGTACGATCAGCCGCTCTTCTCCCTACAATCCATCGCAGGGATGGTGAACGAGCTGAAAATATATCCATCCAACACTATGATCACTTTCTTCCTTATCCACACAAGTATCGTCGACGTGAACTTATGGTCCACAGACATAATGTTGTCTCTGTTACTGTCCCAGACTCCCAACGCTTACACCCTTCAACACTACTGTATTGCCTTGACTGTCCCACTGTCAGGGACTTCGTACCACAGGGAGAGTCACTAACCACTACTTCTTCGTAATAATTTAGATTTAATTTTTGTACGCTACCCACGCTTTGGTGGGAGCTAACTACCACTGTCCTTAAATCAAATCAGTATTGTAGGAATCTTGAGCCAATCAAACAATGTGTAATTGCTCGAAACAAGGTTAATAAAGTACTTGCGTTCATACAAAGGAGTGTTAGTTACAAGACTAGCGAGGTCATCCTAAAACTATATCTTGCGCTTGTGAGACCTCACTTGGATTACGCAGTTCAATTCTGGTCACCGTATTACAAAATGGATATACCCATAGAATCCTTGGAAAGAATCCAGAGGAGAATGACAAGACTAATCCCGGGCATTAGGAACCTTGAGTACAGAGACAGGTTAAAGCATCTTAACTTGCACTCCCTCGAGAGACTTAGAGTGAGGGGCGATATGATAGAGGTGTATAAATGAAAGTCAGGGCTAAACAAAGGGGACCTTGCAAAGGTGCTCAAACTATCTAATCAGGAGCAAATTCGTAACAATGGTTTTAAATTAGACAAATTTAGATTTAGGCGCGAAATAGGTAAACATTGGTTTGGAAATAGAGTAGTGGATGAGTGGAACAAGTTACCAAACATCATCATTAACTCGAATACGCTGGATAGCTTAAAACATAGGTTGGATGGATATATGAGCGATAGGGGTCGGGTGTAAATGGGACTTCCCAGTATGGGCCAATAGGCCCGCTGCAGTTTCCTCCATTCTTATGTTTTTATGTTCTCCTTTTCGTCATTCACTTACAGCTCTTCATTCCTCATCATTTCTTTCTCCAGATAAATATAATTAATTCCTCTTCTCCCTTTTTTTTATTGGCTCCATTCCTTTCCATACACCCTTTTCCCTAATCTCTCTAATCATATGTTTTAATTTCATTCCCCATTGATTTTTTCCCCATGATGGTCATCCAATTCTTCCTTTCCCCATTATTCACCCTCACTCTCTCCCCCAAACTCTCACTCTCTCCCCTAAACTCCACCTCTCACCCTCACTCTCTCCCCTCAACTCCACCTCTCACCCTCACTCTCCTCCAAACTCAACTCCTCTCACCCTCACTCTCTCCCCCAAACTCCACCTCTCACCTCACTCTCCTCCAAACTCCACCTCTCACCCTCACTCTCTCCCCAAACTTTACTCTCTCCCTAAACTCCACCTCTCACCCTCACTCTCTCTCCACCTCTCACTCAAACTCCACCTCTCAAACTCCACCTCTCACTCTCTCAAACTCCACTCTCTCCCCAAACTCACCTCTCACCCTCACTCTCTCCCCAAACCCCACCTCTCACTCTCTCCTCCAAACTCCACCTCTCACCCTCCTCTCTCCCCAAACTCTCTCCCTAACTCCACTCTCACCTCCTCTCTCCTTAAAACTCCACCTCTCACCCTCACTCTCTCCCCAAACTCCACCTCTCACCCTCACTCTCCCCCCAAACTCTCTCTCCCCAAACTCCACCTCTCACCCTCATTCTCTCCCCAAACTCCTTCTCACCCTCACTCTCCTTAAAACTCCACCTCTCACCCCTCACTCTCTCCCCAAACTCCACCTCTCACCTCACTCTCTCCCCCCCCACCTCTCACCCCCACTCTCTCCAAACTCCACCTCTCCCCTCACTCTCTCCAAACTTTACTCTCTCCCTAAACTCCACCTCTCACCCTCAAAACTCCACCTCTCACCCCTCACTCTCTCCCCAAACTCCACCTCTCACCCCTCCTCTCTCCCAAACTCCACCTCTCACCTCACTCTCTCCCCCAAACCCCACCTCTCACCCTCCTCTCTCCCCAAACTCCCACCTCTCACCTCACTCTCTCTCTCCACCTCTCACCCTCCTCTCTCCAAAACTCCACCTCTCACCCCTCACTCTCTCCCCCAAACTCCACTCACCCTCACTCTCTCCCCCAAACCCCACCTCTCACCCTCACTCTCCCCCAAACTCACCTCTCACCCTCACTCTCTCCCCCAAACCTCCACCTCTCACCCCTCCTCACTCTCCTCCTCCAAACTCCACCTCTCACCCTCCTCTCTCCCCCAAACTCCACCTCAACTCTCTCACCCTCAAAACTCCACCTCACCCTCACTCTCTCCCCAAACTCCACCTCTCACCCTCCTCTCTCCCCAAAACTCCCACCTCTCACCCCTCCTCTCTCCCCCAAACTCCACCTCTCCCACCTCTCCCCCTCCTCTCCCCCTCCAACTCCCCTCTCACCCTCCTCTCTCCCCAAACTCCTCTCACCTCTCTCCCCCCAAACTCCACCTCACCTCCTCTCTCCCCCAAACTCCACCTCTCACCCTCACTCTCCCCAAAACTCCACCTCTCACCCCACTCTCTCCCCAAACTCCACTTCTCACCTCACTCTCCCCCAAACTCCACCTCTCACCCTCACTCTCTCCTTAAAACTCCACCTCTCACCCCTCCTCTCTCCCCAAACTCCACCTCTCACCCTCACTCTCTCCCCAAACTCCACCTCTCACCCTCACTCTCTCCTTAAACTCCACCTCTCACCCCTCACTCTCTCCCCCCAAACTCCACCTCTCATCCCCTCTCACCCCTAAACTCCACCTCTCACCCTCACTCTCTCCCCCAAACTCCACCTCTCTCCCTCCTCCCCCTACTCCACCTCTCACCCTCCTCTCTCCCCCAAACTCCACCTCTCACCCTCACTCTCTCCCCAAACTCCACCTCTCACCTCACTCTCCCCAAACTCCACCTCTCACCCTCACTCTCTCTCCCAAACTCACCTCACCTCACTCTCTCCCCAACTCCTCTCACCCTCACTCTCTCCCCCAAACTCCACCTCTCACCCTCACTCTCTCCCCCAAACTCCACCTCTCACCCTCACTCTCTCCCCCAAACTCCACCTCTCACCCTCACTCTCTCCCCCAAACTCCACCTCTCACCCTCACTCTCTCTCTACCACAGGTGAAGTTTACGTGTGAGGGAGATGGTAACCCCGGGGTGCTGAGATACAAATGGGAGGTGAACGACGTTGTGGTGGTGGGCGATCATAGCACAGAATACATCATGAATAAGATCCAACGAAGCTCCAACACTGCCAGAGTCGCCTGTATCGTCTCCAACTCCATCGGTATCACTAAGGCCCAGCACACCCTCAGCGTCGAGTGTGAGTGTCGAGTCTGATGTTGTGAGGGTCGTTGTGTGTAAGGTCAGATTCAAGGATATGGTTGAGTGTGAGTGTTAATTGTGATGTCAGGGGTCGGTTTTGGGTAGGGGTTCGAGTATGAGTGTCGAGTGTGAAGGTAGGATTCAGGATGAAGTTTAATGTGAGGGCGGTCGAGTGTGAGGTTGAGTGGGTGTTACTATTTAGTACAGAGGGCGAGTGAGAAGCGCAGGATCGACTGGCTTAATAAGTGGGTTAAACAGAGTGATGAATGAGTCTGTCCTTGTATTTGTACTTGTCCTTCTGTCTGTACCTGTAAGTTTCAGGTACAGATACAAGGTAAAGATTTACTCGAGTTACAGGCTGTACATCTATATGTGTATGTGTAGACCCTTGTGTTGTCTTTCCTGCACCTTCCCCTGCCATTTCTAAACATATCAAATTGAAGAGAAAACTGTACGATAAGTAAAAGGGGGATGGAAAGTAAAGCCGGTGTACTTGAGGAACACAAGAGGGCTGGAGGGAATGGGAAGAGGTGAAGTATTCGTGGAAAGCTGAGAATAGTGTCTGGGAGTGTTGGGAGAGAGTGACTGCACAACACAAGCTTTGCCTGTCACATTTCTACAACCTCCAATATACTTTCGTAATCATCCTCGTCATCAACATAACCTGACCTATAACCTCTGGTGTCCTCAGACGCCCCGAGGTTTAAGGAGGAGCCGACTGACGTGGACGAAGATGAGGACAAATCCGTGACCTTGACTTGTGACGTGGATGGCAATCCCCCGCCTGAGATCGTCTGGCTACACGAGGCTGAGAAGAAGGTAGGTCAGGTCAGGTCAGGTTGGGTCACAGAGTGGGGAAGTTGAAACAGTTTATTTGGCCAGGAAAATACAGGTATTAAGTGAAGGAAGGGTTGAAGAAGAGAGAGTTAGTCAGAAACGTATAAATCGATCAGGTAGAATATGTGAGAAAAGAAGGAGAGGAGGAGGAAGGAAATAGATGATCATACAAGGAGGAAGAAGAAAGACAGTAGATCAAGAGGAAGACACGAGATAAGTTAAAAAAGGGAATAGAGATGACATAGGAGGAGTGTGACAGGGTGAGATGAGGGTGGTAAGGGTGAGAAGGGAGAAGTTGTCACTATATAGGAGAGTATGTGAGGGTGAGAAGGGAGAAGTTGTCACTATATAGGAGAGTATGTGAGGGTGAGAAGGGAGAAGTTGTCACTATATAGGAGAGGCTGTGAGGGTGAGAAGGGAGAAGTTGTCACTATATGGTATGTGAGGGTGAGAAGGGAGAAGTTGTCACTATATAGAGATAGGGTGAGAAGGGAGAAGTTGTCACTATATAGGAGAGTGAGGGTGAGAAGGGAGAAGTTGTCACTATATAGGAGAGTATGTGAGGGTGAGAAGGGAGAAGTTGTCACTATATAGGAGAGGCTGTGAGGGTGAGAAGGGAGAAGTTGTCACTATATAGGAGAGTATGTGAGGGTGAGAAGGGAGAAGTTGTCACTATATAGGAGATTATGTGAGGGTGAGAAGGGAGAAGTTGTCACTATATAGGAGAGTATATGTAGAGTAAGTATAATGACAGTCATTCCACTGATATTGGTGACATCATGAGTGTAAGTGATAGTTTATTAGCTTTGCCCATTATTATTATATATGATAAGTGATACGATAGTCATTCACCATATTATGAGAGCATGTTATAATGACAGTCATTATTATTATGAGAGCATGTGATAAGTATATTTACAGTCATTCACCATTATGATGAGCATGATAAGTGAGAATGACAGTCACCACATTATGACATGATAAGTATAGTTTATAGTCACCACATATTATGGAGAGTACCAGAGGTTATAATGACAGTCATCACCATAGAGAGCATGGATGGTGAGAATGACAGTTTCATTTCCACCATACAGGAGAGCATGTGATATGAGAATGATAGCCACCATACATAGAGAGGCCGTGAGGCGAGAATATAGCTTCTGCCCACCACATAAGGAGAGCACAAGAGTGGCGAGTATTTACAGCTGCTCCACCATACAGAGAGGCTGTGAGGGTGAGAAGGGAGAAGTTGTCACTATATAGGAGAGTATGTGAGGGTGAGAAGGGAGAAGTTGTCACTATATAGGAGATTATGTGAGGGTGAGAAGGGAGAAGTTGTCACTATATAGGAGAGTGCATTAGACGTATGGATTATTATTTTTTTTTTAGTTTTCTATGAATAATAAAAAATCTGTTTTGAGTGTAATATAGATTCTAACTCTATAGAGTTTACTGTACATCATAATTATTGCAAATACTATACTTGAAATCCTCTATTGTCATTTACCATCCATTTTGCTCACCTGAAGTTATCAGTTTTACAATCTGTCAATCATCAACAAAGTTCTATGTATTAATTATGTCTCACTCGCGTTTCAGGTCATTAATGTTGGGGCCAAGTTGACCTTAACAGTGACCCCAGAGACGGTGGGTGTCTACCACTGCCGCGCCGGTGTCACTGGCTTCCCTGAGGTGAGTTTCAGGTCTCAGGTGAACTTTGACCCTTAGCATGAACTCTCATATGTAATTTTACCTCTCATAAAACATATCACGTGAACTCCGTTCTGATCTTTCATATGACCTGTTAGGTCTTATTATCTATCACCTGAGGTAGAACTTGATCTCTCATGCGATCTCTCAAATGAGATGAATTCTGACCCCTCATGTGACCTGTTATGTGAAATGTGATCTTTCAGCTGATATATTATTTGACCTCTTACAAGACTTGTCAGCTGAAATAGTTGACATCTCACATGACTTGTCAAGTAAAAAACCTGACTTCTCATATAAATACCATGTGAGATCAGACAACAATGACCCTAAATGGATAAATAATTATTTAAAAAACATCATTGGCCAAAGGAAGGCTATAGGTAGAAGGATAAATCGTGGCGAAATTCACCTCCGGGACTATTATAGGGTATTGGCGAGTTGGGTTAAAACCGAGATAAGGAAAGCAAAGACGAATAATGAGGTAAGGATAGCAAGGGAGGCGAAGACAAACCCCAAAGGATTCTACCAAATGTATCAAACTAAAACACGAGAAAAGATTGGACCAATACGGTCAGACTTCGGCGAGCTCACTGATAACGACAGAGAAATGAGCAATAATTTGAATAAATATTTTTCAACAGTTTTCACCACCGAAAATTTAAACATGATACCCGAGGCACCGACTTATTATTCAGAGATAGTGAAGAAAACAAATTAAGTGATAGTGGCACTTAGTAACGATGTTAGTAAGCAAGTAGACAAACCAGTTTAATAAGTCACCTTGGTCCCGATGAGATATTTGCCAGAGTATTAAAGGAATGTAAGGAAGAGCTTAGTATGCCCTTAGCAAAGTTGTTTAACATGTCATTAAAAGCAGGTGTAGTACCAGAATCCTGGAGGATAGCGATTGTAATACCGATTTTCAAGAAGGGGGACAGATCACTATCCTCTAACTACCGCCCAATCAGTCTAACATCAATAGTAGGCAAATTACTGGAAGCAATCATTTCAAACTCTATTCGAAATCACCTGGAGAAGCACCGATTGATCAATGATTCCCAGCATGGCTTTACAAGCGGACATTCTTGCCTAACTAATCTATTAACATTCTTTTCATAAGTTGTCGAATCGGTGGACGAGGGGCACAATTATGATGTGGTATATCTCGACTTTAGCAAAGCCTTCGACAGAGTCCCCCACGAAAGACTAATTAGAAAGGTAGAAGCTCATGGCATCAAAGGTGACATCCTTAAATGGATTTGGGCGTGGTTACAGGACAGGAAACAGCGAGTGAGCATTAACGGCACTAAGTCCCATTGGAGCAACGTCACAAGTGGAGTTCCCCAAGGCTCAGTACTTGGACCATTATTATTTATTATATACATAAACGACATAGATATCGGCATTGACAGCAACATAAGTAAATTTGCTGATGACACTAAAATAGGACGTGTTATCAAATCTGACGAGGACTCGGCAAAACTACAGAAAGATCTAAACAAATTTTTCGAATGGTCTGAAAAATGGCAGATGAAATTCAACGTCGACAAATGTAAAGTACTCAGTATAGGAGATGTAAACAGGGAAACCAGATACCAGATGAACAACGATGCCATAGAGAAATCCGACTGCGAGAGAGATTTAGGAGTAATGATAAGAAGGAACCTTAAGCCAAGTAAACAATGTGTTTTTGCTCGAAACAAGGCTAATAAAGTACTTGGGTTCATACAAAGGAGTGTTAGTTACAAGACTAGCGAGGTCATCCTAAAACTGTATCTTGCTCTTGTGAGACCACACCTGGATTACGCAGTTCAGTTCTGGTCACCGTATTACAGAGAATGGATATAGAATCCTTGGAAAGAATTCAGAGGAGAATGACAAGACTAATCCCGGGCATTAGGAACCTTGAGTATAGAGACAGGTTAAAGCATCTTAATTTGCACTCCCTTGAGAGACGTAGAGCGAGGGGCGACCTGATAGAGGTGTATAAGTGGAAGGCAGGGCTAAACAAAGGGGACATTGCAAAGGTACTCAAACTATCCAACCAGGAGCGAACTTGTAACAATGGTTTTAAATTAGACAAATTTAGATTTAGGCGTGAAATAGGTAAACACTGGTTTGGAAACAGAGTAGTGGATGAATGGAACAAGTTACCAAATATCATCATTAACTCGAACACGCTGAATTGCTTCAAACATAGGTTGGATGCTCATATGAGCAATAGGGGTTGGGTGTAAACGGGACTGCCCAGTATGGGCCAATAGGCCCGCTGCAGTTTCCTCCATTCTTATGTTCTTATGTATTCATGTTATCAGTTGAGTGAATAATATCTTTCTTCTGAGTTCCACATTGTAGTTATGTTGCCTTGTAAGAGGTCAAGGAGTGTGGAGACCTTTCATACATCACCAGCTGAGATTTCATTAGCTCCCCATTAGGTTGATATATCGTGCCGGCTGGCGGAGAGTTTTAGTCATAACCTTTCCTGTGCTTCACTATTTCAAATGCTCTGCTCTACATGTTTGAACATCAGCTTTTGTAACTCTCTGTTCATGTAATATTTCATGTAGGTAAAGTGATGTAAGAGTGACTTCATTTAATCTTTGACCTATTGTAGAATATTATACACAAAGTTTTATATAACCAGGAACACTTATTATTTGTTTTTGTATTACAGGACAAAACAACATTTACGACCCCATTTTCATTTTATCTTATGCAATATGTGAAGCACCTTTGAATTGCATAGCGAACTTTTTCTAAAATTTAAAATTTAACTCATAATAGCAATACCACCTGAAGTGTGGAGGAATCATCAATGATGACCTCGCGTGGTTTAGTTTAGTTTAGTTTCCTTCATAAATAACGTTCACATAGAGGCTGTGCCATATATGTTTATTACACATTCCACTTTAACACAGTTTTAATTGCCATTTGAAAATTCACACAAATTAAACCCCCATGTATATCTTTTACAAGTTTTTAATTTATTTTGGTTAAACGTTCATGAAAGTTTTCTCTCACTTTAATATTAATACAGGTGTGGCAATTTTACCCTTTATCATGAAACCATCACTGCTTTTAGTCTTCAATATTAAAAAGTCTGGCATGACGTTTACTCTCACATTCAGCCATAACACTGGATCGAGTTTCCCAGTTTTCACCCCTAACATAAGTCTCACCTTGAGACACATGTTATTCCACAGAAGTATCACTCACACAGGCTTTAATACATATGTAACCCACAAAACGACGTAGCCCACATATAGTTTAGTTAAGTCTACCTCACACACTTAGCTGAAACACTCCACAACACCTCTGACTTACTCGTAGGTTTATGACTGGTGGGAGTGTACACTTTCATTCACCATCGGTTCAATAGTATCTTTATCCAACATATCTCCTGTATATCCCTCTCCTCAAGTTCAATATCCTTCAACAAGTACAACTTTCGCTCTTTTATCTTTACTCAGACATCTTACGAGCATCCAGGTTTTTGTATTCTTCTGATGTCGTCTGTGATGACAATAATAATCCTATTTATTCCAGCAAAACATCAGTTATTTATATGGTTAAAAATTTTATGTCTAAAGAAACGTTCGGGCAAGATTATATATTTACAGTAAAAAATACAAAATATAAACCAGAAACAAAGTGAAACAGAAAAATAATATTCCTAAAATTTAAATTAATTAGTCATATAAAAATATATAACTACGTAACAAAACTTCACTACAGGTGCACATAATCTTAGCTTTTTCAAATAACTTTCTCGTGTTATTCCAATAACTACAAATATCACCACACTACAGTACTGTATATTCGTTTATTCCTGTAACATACTGTACAGTACTTTACCCAATAGTCTCGTTGTAATACTACCTCACTGACGCAGAACAAAAAGACTTGTTCATCTTCCCAGCTTCTCCCACAGCATTCTGCAAGCATCATTAATCTCTCTTCTGCAGGAGTCACGGTCCATGACAGTGTTTATGCGAGGAGCCCCTCAGGTGACACCGGTCGAAAAGCAGTTCGGCCTGGAGGGCGACACCGTGCACGTGGAGTGTGACATCCAGTCCATCCCTCGGCCGAGCGAGGTGGTCTGGTCCAAGAAC